CTTCACTGGATACAGTGACAGATAGGAAAAGAGATGTGTCCAAAGGGAGCTTGTGGCAGATCTGGGAATACAGCTCAGTGCTGGCTGCCAGTCCCCTGCTCTAGGCAAAAGGACTCACGCTTTGTTTGCAAAACTCATCTCAGGAGGGTTAGATGCTCCAACAGTGACAGATCTGTCCCCAGTCTAATGGCCCATGGGACCGGTCTCATTTAAGCACTCAATCCAACAACACCAACTGACTTGGGAGCTCAGCTGGGGAACAGCCCCACACAGGAACCACTGAACAGGGTCTCTGCTTGGGAAAGAAAACTTTGTTCATGCCTGTGCCTCTGACAGGCAGAAAGAGACCACAAAAAACCAATGACATGCATGTAAAGAAGCCCACAGGACAGGGTGTTGGATGCTTAGCAGGACTAGGCAGCTCATATATCTAGCTAGTTTACCCTATTGCCTTTCAAAGTAGTGATGACACCACAGGCCAGACAGTCTGAGAAACCCAGGCTCCTGCAAACAATAAATCAGGAGTCTGGCAGGATTGCGAATGGAGTCCTGCTACAGAGGGAGATCATGAGCATAAATGAGCTATTGAGACAGAGCGCCTCCAGCCAGCAAACCCCATCGTGACTTTGGGGAAAGGTAGAAATGCCGGATGGGAAAGAAGGAGACTGAACGACATGATCAAGGAAAGTACAATCTGAAAGGGAAAAAAAAGAAAGGACTGGACGAGGAAGCTTGAAGAAAGGAATGGGGGAGCCAACTGAGCCAGTCTGGCAGCCTGATGAGGTATCGCTGTTATGCCACGCAGGGTCAGTTAGAACCGAGCCCCTGGTCTCCACTTCTCTGCTCTGGAGGAAGTTGAGGAACATGCCTCCTCCTGGGATGACCAGCCATAGTATAGGCAGCCAGGCCATCTCTGGCTGCACAGCCCAGGCTGAGATGCAGGGAGCAACAAGGTCTTCAAAGGCAGCACAGGCTGTGTTTGAGACCCAAGGGCAGCTCTCGGGGGAGATTGCTCATCCTCACCAAGGAAGGGCCAGACAGAGGACAAGAGACAATGATGAGCTTCAGAGACAAGATGATTTATAGCAGCCACATAAATAACATCTCAAAGTGCCATGGTTTGCTGACTCACAGCCTCTGCTAGTGATGGGAAAAGCAGTCTGGCCAGAGGGGAGGTAAATGAGGGTCTGCAGGGAAGATCATCCCCAATTAGCTGTCACCCCACCAAGACAGGACAGCTGTGGGGCCTCCAGCTGGTAGAGGAAGCATGTCTATGCCCAGTGAGAGGGTTGGCAACCACTTTTGTTACAACCTCCTAGCGGGCCCATGTAAGGTCAGAGCCCCGCTGAGCTGGGTACTTCTGAGCCCTACAAAAGTAGGAGAGGAAAAATTATCAAGAAGAATTATCACAGGGCAGTTATGGCAGAACAGGGCCAAAAGTTTCCTCAGGCCCAGGGCAGTGCTTTAACCACAGCCTTTCCTCTCCAAACTGAAGGGAGAAGAGAAAGAGAAGATGGGAACAACCGAGCTCCAGCACTGGAAGTGGCCACTTCTCCCTTCTCATGCCTCTTCCTCAGCATGGAAAGGTTTTGAAACCACATCTCTCTTCTCAGCTCTTTTCCTGGTGGGATTTATAAGCCAACCTCACTCTTTATCACTGCGGGACCTCTACTCCCTGATTCCATCACAGTGGCTGTGCTCCCACCCAGTGCTTCATCGACGACAAGAACTCGGCAAAGCAGACAAGGACTTCTTGTCCCCGAACACAGAGCAGTGCAAAGCACACCTCAGCTCGTTCACAGTCAGGTGGGCACCAGCAACAGCCTTCCCATGAACAGATTCAGAACGGTATCTCCCATGAGTCACTCTCAAACAGCCTCTATTTCATTAGGCTTCTCCTGGTGGCCCATCCCTACTGCCTACCCTTCCCTGCCTGTGTGTGAAGCCAGGAGCTGCAGTAGGCTCTGCCCTTCCAGGGCACCAGCCCCCTTCATCACCCTTGACAGAATACAGTCGTGAATAATTTCCACTTTTTCAGTGTAGCAGGGCTCGAAGCACCGGGGACAGCTTCCAGCAGAGCACAACCCAGGACGTTGGTAAAGCAAAAAGTGATGGTACTTTCTTCACGCACATGCAACACCACTGCCTCCCACCCTGGCACAGAATGCAACCCATGGAGACTCTTTATGGCAGAGACCTACAGAGCCAGGGAGAGCCACTAGGTCTGTTGGCATCCAGCAGTCTCACTAGAGCAGGGGTCAGCAACCCCCCGGCATGCGTGCCAAGTATGGCACACAAGGCCATTTTGCTTGGCACACCACTGCCAGCCCGGGCTCAAAGCAGCTGCTGCCAGCCACAGAGCCCAGGCTGCTCCCAGCAGCTGGCTGGGAGGCTGCAAACCCTGCTGCAAGCAGACCGGGCTCTGTGGGGCAGCTGCAGCCGGGAGGCTGCAAACAGCCGCTCTGAGCTCCGGCGTGTCGGCACTCCGACTCCTTCCAAGGTAAACATTGTGGTTTTTTCGGCACTCTGGCCAAAAAACACTGCCTACCCCTGCACTAGAGAATCCCCTTTCTATTCGTTCCACTCAGGGCTCTGACAGAGACACTCCAGCAGCAGTAATGGACCATGCAGTTTTGCTCCTGTGATTGCTAGATAGAAATCTCCTAGCACTTAGATTTGATCATCACATGTTGCCAACCTGCATTTCCCCCACTTCCCTTGAGCTACTCAAGACCCCTGCCTATGCCTCCAGTGTCAAACCCTCCGGTCCATACAGTCCCTGGGCTATCTCAGCATGTCACTCAGAGGATGTAGTCACCATAAAGAAACTGGGAGCCTGCTGGATGGCTGTGGGAAGAACTGGGGACAACGAGAAAGTTGAAAAGAGGTAAGAGAGACAGCCAAGGATGTATTGGAATAACTCTGGGGACGCAGCCGTGGAGAAACTAGGACCAGCTGTGGGTCTTCATTCAGTCCAAGCCTTTAAAAACACTGAGATTTCTCCACCTTCTGCTGTGCTCTGGCATGTTTTTTATCTCAAGTCTGCATGGAGCTATTGGCTTTCCTAGACATTTAAAACTCTCCTTGATGGAAAGAAGACTCAGATCAACCTGCAAACATTTCCAAGCCTTCTGTCACATGTTCAAGAGGACAGGCGAGTCAGTGCATTGTCCTGGGTGCTGCCCAAACCCCTGGTGAGAGACACTTCCTGTCCCAAAGAGGTTGTAATCAAAACAGGGAATCGAGAGGGTCATGGTCACACAGCATCAGTCAGGATTAGTGCCCAGGCTTCCTGCCTCTCAGCCCAGCACCCCATGAGTCTAGATTGAACCTGCCTCAGAGCTTCCCTCACCTCTCTCAGAGCTGTGCTGGGAGTCTAGTGGCCAAACAAGGAGCGCAGACTGTGCGCTGCAATCCAGCAAACCTGTGCAGAGAGCTCTTTCTACTGCTTCACCTTCAAAGGCCCTTAAAATGAAAGAGAAAATGGCAAAAGCTGCTGGGGAAGACGCTGTGGAGCGGATGGGAGGCGAGGGACCGGTGCTGCGCTGCAGTTCGTGTCAAGCATGCCATCAGGTGTCTACAGCAGAAAGAAGGGCGCTGGGTGGAGGTAGAGAACATACAGAGAAAAGGAAGGGAAGAAGCAAGGGTCTGCAGTCAGGCAGCGCTGCCAGGCAGCTTACAATAACGTGGGCTCTGAGCTCCCCTCTCCGCTCTTCGCAGGGAGCTCTGACTGCCCTGCTCTCTGCTGATGAGCTGCCCACTGGGCAGCCAACAGCCCCCAGTTCTCCATGCCACTGCCTGCCTCCTGCATTCCTCTCACTTCACCTTTTGTTCTCCCAGCCAGACAAGTGGTGTTGTCTTGCTTTGTTTATACACAGTGGAACTGGACCCGAGGTACCTGAATGGTGGGCTAGCTCACCTCTCCAAAGCAAAAGCAAAAGGGAGCTGCTTTCCCTCTAAGCATCCTTAAAGCTACGCTCTTGCCGCTAGTGTGAGCCTGGGTAACTGTGCACACACCACCCTACCCCACCTGATCTCAGCTGTGCACTCTGAGCATGCATGAAAGGAAGCTGAATCGCAACTCACAGACCTGTTACCCTGCAAAGATTGTCCATGGACGAATGCAGGGATTAACAAGCTGAGCTGCTACATTTCATGTAGCAGAAAGCAAAAGGGATGATGACTGCAGTGAGTATTACGGTGCTGCGGCAGCTGGACCTGGCCTCACACAGCCCACAGCTGATCAGATAAGCAGCTGTGCCTAAGATTGCTAACAGAGCTGGCTTGCTGGATGCATCACAAATGTCCTGTGCTGGTGCTTTCTGAGTAGTAGAGGTGGCCTGGTTCTGGGGCAGGGAAGGGAATAATCATTGTTCGTAGGTCAAGCTCAAGACCATTTGCGCAGCTGCTGCTACTGCTGGGTTTCTGGTCCCTAGCAATCATCGGTTCCTCCTTCCAGCTATGGTGAGAGAAGAGAGAGCTATCATGCAATGGGGTTATACCCTGGCTGGGTTTATGCTGGGGTTATGGGGAATGAGCTGATGCTGCACCACAGTTATGCAACAGTAGCAGACAGATGTGAAGCAAGCAGAGCCTTGTCATCATCAGGAACAAACCACTGCACACAAACAGGTTTGTAGGCAGCATTCACTGAACTGCAAGGGCCTCATCCAAGGTCACTGTGCCAGACTCAGGTAACATTGCCGTGTCACACTTGGGTTTCAACAAAACAGCAGGAAATCAACAGATCTTTTGAACCCGTGATCTCTTCTGAAACCCATCTAAGAAGCCAACTTGGTTGCAGAAGGAGATGATGTGGGTTGTTGTGTCATGCAGAGCTGTTTGTATAGGGTGGGGGCTCCCAGCCAGCTTGCCCCCAGCACCGTGCAGGACCCAAAGCATGTCATTTAAGCACTGTGGGCCGGTAGACAGAGTCCAACCTGCACTGCTGATACCATGACACCAGCGGGCTCCATACACTGACACTACCCTGGTGATGCAGAGCATGGTAGAGAACCCACTGGTAGGCAGCCTTACTCACAGCAAGTGAAATCCAAACAGTGGCTGGGAGTGCGCTTGTGCGCAGCCCCCAGAGGTGTATCAGACATGCTAGGAGTGTCAGGACTTGCCAAACTTTTCCTCCTTCAGTTAGATCCAGCGGCTCTTGTCTCTCCATGCAGAATGCTATGTCCTAGGCCCACTCCCTGCCACCAACAGTACAGCAGGAAGCCTTCCAGAGGGATTCACTTGAATTCACTGGAGTCACATACTTCCCACTGGCTTGTTCCTGAGTGGGTTTCAACATAGACTACCGCGCTGTTGCCAGGACCACCTTCTAATTAGATTTGCAACAGAGGTCCTCACTGCTCATGGGCACAAGAGATCCCAATGCACAGAAGGAGTGATAGTGTCAGGGTCTTGGCCCCTTTCCAGCTGGGCAATTATCTTCCATTTCAGCTGCATGCAGTACTTCACTTGTCATTAACTTTTACGTAGCTTGTTACAGAGCTGGTAGTTTCCACCCTAGAAGCACCTGCATTTCTGTGATGTCACGTGCTCCTTGAATGCTTCATAGTTGTCAGGAGAACCCCTGGGTTGGAATTCTCTCTTGGAATGAGAAAGTATTAGAGAACCTGGTTCTCAGACACATCGGTAAAATGCTGCCGTGGTACATGTGGATCTGGGACATTCGCAGAGGCAGGGTGACATCCCCAAGGAGTCAGACTCTCAGTCCTAGATCTAACTAGAAAGATGAGCCCTCCGACAGCACAGATTTCCCCAGTGCCATGGAGAGACACCTGCTCTATACCAACTCTGAGGGACTCTTCCAGATTCCAGTCTTCTGTCCAGATCCAGACCCCGCCTAGCACTGAGATCACATCCACGTTCACATCATTTGATGAAGAGCGACAAGTTTTCATCTGCTGGGTAAATATTCCTTCAGCTTCATTTGTATCAATCAACACTGACATCCAGTGGCCTGTCAGGACAACTACAGCTGGACAGGTCTTGCAGAGATCAATGAGAACGAGCTTCCCTCCCATGCTCCACTGTCCAAGCTAAATGCAGTATGACCTATTGCATTATGACCATTCATTATTGCTCTCATTTCCAAATGAAGTCAGTGGCTGTGAAAGGCACCAGATGCCTCGAACTGGAAAATAAACTTCTGTTTGCCTGCAGAACCAGTAAAACCGAGGCCATAACTCCATGCACTTCCCAGAACTGCCTCACCAACGCACCTCAAGCCTGTGTGGGAAAGATCACCTCTATAGAGACCAGTCTCCAAGACTTTAACCATAAAACAAAGGATGCCCATAACATACAATGTAATATACAGTGCATCCTTCAGCCATCCCACCTTGTCAGAAGTCAGAGCTAAGCTGAGCCAAACCTTTCCAGATCCCCAACAGACTCTGAGATGAATCTTCTTCTGAGTGCTGCCTAGGAAGTACTCGCCTTGGGATAAAAAACGTCAGTGATTCTGTAAGCAGCATTTTTCACTATGAGTACTGAGCCAATTACCCAATACTGTGGCAGGGGTGGAGGGGGGTGATGGCTCTCGCAGGAGATGTAAAAGCAAAGTCCAGAGTTGCTGTGGCTCTTACTAGTCTTGTGGCACTTGCCAAAAGCATGTTCACCCCAATGACCTGGCCAACCTCCGGTGAAGGTCATCGGGCTGATTCCTTCATCTCTTCCCTGTAACTGCAGTTGGATACTGCTGTAGAAACAGCTGCTGGGTTTCACCCCAGAGGTGACTGCATTTTGGTGGTGGGTGTGAGGATCAGGGTGGATGTGCTGCCCAAACTGTAATCAGGGAGAAATTATTTTGGGACTAGTGAAGGTGCGTGTCCCCACTGGTGCCGGGTAGAGGAGGATTGGGTGGCGGATGCAGGGGATTGAAGGGTGAGGAGCAGATCTCTGCTAGCAGAGGCGGGAGGACAGGAGATGAGCATGCTCCAGACTCCCCCAGAGTCTCAGCTGGGGCTGGGTGGGCAGGCAGCAGTGGGGAGAGGGGCAGCTTGCAACTGCTGCCCCTCCCTCCCATTGCCACGGCACTGTCTGCTCTTCCTCCCATGTAGCCAGGCCGGCCCAGAGGGTGCCAGGCCGTGCTTCTCCATCCTCCCTCCCCTCCTCCTGGCCCTGATTGCTGGAGAGAGGCTCTGGAGAAGTGGGTGGCTGATTCCCCACAGATGACAGCTCCTTAGGTATAACTCAGGAGGCTGATTTTCAGATTGACAACCAATGCCCTGGCTTGGAAAGGCAAATGCCACAGGACTGTGCCTAGAAGCAGCCTTCCTGCCCGGCCCTGATTGCAGGCTCCATCCCTGCAGGAGCCCCAGTGCAGCATCGCCCGGTGCCTGCAACCTGCAGAGCCCCGGGCTCGCTGCTCAGAAAGAAATAAGATGCAGTGGCTCTACCTTGGTCCAACTGCTCTGGGTGCCCAGGGGCAAGCCCCCCACAATGAGCTGCAATCAGGATCATGGATCTAATGCGGGGCAGGAGCCCAGCACCTCCTGGGGCAGGGCAGGACAGGGCAAGGTTGCTGGCAGCCCTTGCTGCCATGGCTGCCGGGCCCGCCCCCCCCCCCCCCCCCCACCCCCGGCACGAATCTGCCCCGGGGTGAGTCCAAGCCCGGCCCGGGCCAGGTGCAAGGAGGGCAGGAGATGCTAGCAGAGTGGGAGCGGGAGCTGCAGCGCCGAGCACAGCCCAAGGTCATGGGCGGTGCCGCAGGTGGATGGAGCCCCGGGACTGGACGGGACCAGGCAGCCCGGCCCTGGGGGCAGGCAGGGATTGGGGGCTGCGGGAGGCTCCGGAGCAGAAGCGGCCGCCGCTGTCCCTTACCTTGGCCGAAGGCTGCGCTGCCCGCTCCGGCGCCAGAGAGCCGGAGCGATCCCGGCGGCGGCAGGCAAAGCTTCACACTCCTTTGGTCTCTGCCAGGCACCAGGAGAGAGAGATCAGAGGGATGGGGGGGAGGATCCCAGCCCGGGAAGGACCCTCAGCAACCTGTGGCATCCCCCCCACCTCCACCCCACCCCACCCCAGGGGCACAGATCTACCCCCTTGGCACTGATGCCCTGGGCTGGGGGCCCCCTTGGCCAGCCCCTGGGGTTGCCTTACCTAGCAAGCTGCGGCAACATGTGTCTGTCTGCGAAAGCCGGCTACGGGGAGCTGCCGACAAGGCTCCTGCTTCACGTGGCAGAGCCCCGGCTCCGCTGGCAGCCGGCTGATGAGCGCCGGCTTTGGGCGAGTTGTTTGGGTGCCCATCGTTAAGTGCAGCCATTTGTTTTGTCAGAGAGGTAACCATGACAATCCCCTTGTACACACACACATGCACACGCACACCCCTGTCTTTCTCTACCCCCCTCCACCCTCTCCCCCTCCTTCTCCTAAGGACATGATGGCACAAGTCTTCAGTTTGCATAATTCTTCTCTGCTTCGCTTGGGAGCCTTTGGCTCCGCAGCTGCAGGGAGCGGGGGGACGACACGTCTCCGTGTCCAAAATGGCCATTCTCTCGACCCGGTCTGCACACCGGGCGGATAGATGAGAGGACAATGAGAGGTCTCGTGTCTGCGGGCACCTCTGATAGACCCTCTCACCAGGTGGAAAGGCAAGGTCTGAGATAGAAAGCAGGCTGGTGACAAGGTAATAGCATAAAAATGGTGCCCTTGAGGAAGGGAAGTTATGGGCAACCCGTAATGAGAGTGCAGGATCCCAACAAGAATCACGGTCACTTCTCTCCCAAGGGGGAGATTTTTCACAGCAATTGCTGGGGGAGAGAGGGGGAATCATTTATTTTACATTTCTTTATTGTGGTTTCCTTGTTCTTCTACAATAGAAGTGCCCTAAATCCTGCAAAACCGGCTGCATCTGCCATTACTGGCCTCCTGCAAGACTGCCACAGTCCCTTGTTGGTACCCAATGCAAAAATAAGATCTGCTCTTCTCTGCACAGCGAGCCGCCACTCGCTCACTGCTCCTTCTCCGGAAGGCCCACATAGTCTTATCTCATCCTCTGTGCCCCTGTTTGTTTTCAGCCACCCATGGCAGCCACTCTTTCACATCCAAACAGGCCCCAGAACCCCTTACATTGGCTGTAGTGGGTATCCCAAAGCAGGAGTCTCCGCACTCAAAACACAGGACACCATCAGATCCATAAGCAGAAACATTAGGACTCCAGTGCCCCCATCTAGATCTGGGTCCCATTGTGCTAGATGCTGTCCTGAGGTGTGTACAGTGTACGGCCAAGTCTATACTGCACAGTGTTGCCCTAACTGTGTGTTAGTTGGGATGTTGAAAAGTCATGATCTTCATCCACAAAGTGCTGCCTGTTAAACCTGCAGTGTAAAGGCAACTTGCAGTGGCAAAAGTGGCTTTTTGCTGTCCTAGCCTGTGTTGTTTGGGAAAGCGATTTAGAGACAGCAGCAGAGGAATGCCTCTTGCCAGTATAAGCTGCACTTCCATTATGGCTTTGCTGGTTTAACTATCCCAAGAAAGCCTTGGTAGGGCAGGCCAAGGCTGCAGTCCCCCTGCTTCATCTGTGGCAGGTTAGGGTGCTAGGTCTACATTGGGTCAGGGTTGAGGGTAGTCTTATGTAGAGTTGAGATTGTGGTTTTTATGGGCTGGCTTGGATAGGAATGATCCTGCCTGAGGCAGAAGGTTGGACTAGATGACCTCTAGAGGCCCCTTCCAGCCCAACTTCTCTAACTAGCCCTGAGAGGCATTGAGAAAGGAAGTGAGTGGACCAAGGTCACACAGGTGACCAGTGGCAGAGCCAGGAATAGGAGCGAGACAGCCTGACTCCCTAAATGGACTCCGTTCCCAGTTCTGCCACTCACCGGCAGGGTGAGCCTGGACCTATCACTTCAGCTCTCCATGCCTTTGTTTCCCCTGCTGTCAGAACTGAGAGGCGAATGTTTGATGTTTCAGGGCAGGGAACACCTCTTGCGGCGTATTAGCACAGCACAGAGCCCAACAGGCTCCTCAGTAATATAAATGGTAATAATGCGGCTGTTGAAAAGAAATTTAATATCGCTGAGAATATTGCTTCAACGTTCTTCAGGACTGAAGACTCTCAATTGTGGCAGGGATGTTCAGAAGGCCTAATTATTCTCTCTTAATACCCACGTCAATCAGAAATACTTTCTGTGAAGTCAGAGGAGAAAAAAAGTGGAAGGGCTTGATCCAAAATCCATTATCATCAATAGGAGTCCTTCAGTTGCCCACAGAAGGCTGTGGGTTAGACCATAAGGTAGACTAGCTTCAAGCCTAGATTCTCCAGTTCCCCTGTGGTCGTATTGGCCTCTTCCCATTCCTTGCTGGAGCTCTCCTGGATGGAGCAGGAACAACTGGCCGGCGAGACGAGATGTTCTTCAGAACCTCCACATGTAAAAAGATGCTGGTCATGCCATCATGAAGACACAGATCTTCCTGATCAAATCAGCATGAGACCATCACTGCATTTTGGTACCCACTCCCTACGTGACTGCATGGGCTCCTCTGGAACAGACTCCCTGTCCAAGTCCTTCTATCACAGGCAGGACCATATCTCTAGGGAAATGTCATTATGCCTCTCACTTGCTCTGTGTTTTCCATAACTCTGTGTCTCTACTGATTTTAGGGCTTCCTGTCTTGGAGGAGAACAAGATACCAGGCATCTAACTATGGCCATGCCATAGGAAGACAGCACTGGCCGTAACGGATCAGTCCATCTAATGCAATCTCATGTTCCAAAACTTCAGAGGAATAGGCAAGAAACTCAAAAGTTATCAATAAAGAAATTACTTGCCCTCAGGGGAAGTTTTCTTTCCAGTCCCCATCAGCTCAGTTCTTGCTTGCGCCCTGAATCATGAGAGTTTACATTCCTTATACGATAAGTAAGACAATCCCCAGAGAGCGCCCACGTCACATGCTACAAATGCTTGTTAAACATTCGCTTTTTGGCTCCGACAAAGAAACTAACATATGTCACAAGAAAATCACTGGGATTTGTACCAACAAATCCGGCACCCAAGCCATATGTATTTATAAAACAGAGCGGAATTTGACATGGGGGCTGTGACAGATGTGAGACCTTGGAAGAATGGAAACATTGAGATTTGTCAGACACTCTGGGTAGGGGGAACATCCGGAGACACTTGTATCCACGTTCTAAGTGCTATATATGTCTACTGCTGGAGGGAAGTTACAAGACTTTTCTGCAGAACTAAGATGACTGGGGGCGATTGATGTAAATCCTCAGGCAATTAAGTCCTCAGAAGCCTCACCCCCCTGGGGGAAATTGTACATCCATTTAGAAGAGAAGGCAGCGATGAAATAGGTGAAATTGGGAACTGAGATCCTTGCAAGGTGGCCAGGCTGACAATGAGGAGGGATCTCTCACACGATCTAAGAACATAACACTGATACTGACTCTGGAAAAAAGAGCTGAGAAACTTGTCCGATGCCCCTGCCCAAATCCCAGCCAGGTGATGGTTAAAGCCTGGCCAGCTTAACACATGGGTAGACTCTTCATGGTTTTACTGTATTTTTTTCTGCAGTTTTTTATCCTTAAATAAATAACCTGAGCTGCATGAAACCTGTCCAGTCACTCATTAACCATCATTGTCCTGATAGAGAGCAGAACTGCAGGTGCTGAACTAAACTCAGACCTGCTGGGATAAGCACAGAAAATTGCAAAAGAGGAACTGCAGCCTAGATCCCCAGTCTGGAGGGTGAGACTGTTGTGGGACTCGGCCCCAAGGAAGGTGATGTTGGGAAACCTGAGCCCGAGTGAGGTGCCCTGGAGGAGAGAGCTCCCTGGAACAAAAGCTGGGCCCTTTGGCTGAGATATCGGCAGGGCTGTCCCTAAGGTAGGGCGAATCGGGGTGACTGCCCTGGGCTCTGTGTTTTGGGCACCCCACAGAGCCGGGTGGAGCGGCTGCGGCCCCTCCCATGGGCCCACCTGGAGCTGTAGTCTCAGTCCTGCACCACGGAAAAAGAATGGAAACCCCTCCCCACACCCCCGTTTGCAGGGGTACCACAACTCCACGCAGTATTAAGGGGACCCCGCACAGGCTGATTTGCCCCAGGCCCCACACCCCGCTAGGGTTGGCTCTGAATCGGTTTGCTTTCCTCCCCTTTCCGCCCCTGCGATTAGCAGAAAAGTGCACATCACCTGGTATCTGGCAGAGGTGGGGGAGGTATATTCACCGTTCCTGCTGCTGACTCGCCTGGAGTACAAAATCCAGTATGTAACTGCATTTGTTTCATAAGCCTGTAGCTAACATTTCCCAATTAGGGATGTCACGACTCACTACATCATTTGTAAGCCTTGGTACTTAGCACTCTTTACTTCCCAAGCTCTGGGCAAACATTACTGTCCATATTTCCAGAAGTGCTTGGCATTCGTAGCTCATGTTGACTGCAATTCGGGGCTTGCTGCTGCTGTTATTTCTACTTCTCTCATGCCTAGAAACACTAATCAGTGATAAAGGCCACCCTGTACTAGCGGCTGTGTGCAAAACAAAGACGACAGGTTTGTCCCAGAGAATTTATACTCTAGGTAGCCAGGAGGCAAAAGGTGAACAGGAGAGATCAGATAAGTCAGGAGGATGAGTTAATAATGAAAGGAATAGAGACCATCAGAGAGCTCAAATCTTAGCTCAGTGCTTGCCTAAGCAGGTCCAAACAGTAGCTCTGTGGGGGTCAATACCCCTGAAAAAATCAAGCCCTGGCTCTTCCTTCCTGTGTACAGGTAAGTATTTCCAGCCCTGTTTCATGGATGGGGACATGGAGACCCAGGAAGATAATGCAACTGGCTCAAGGACACACAGTGGCATAACAGAATTAAAATGCAGATATTCCTGGCCTCCAGCCCAGTGATTATTCAATTATCTCATGCTTCAGTGTTACACGTATAAGACTTATACGTGCCCATTGCTTGTGTACTCCAAACACAAGCTGCGTGGTTTGGGCATAAAAAAAACCAAAACCTGGCTCTTGCTGGACAGACAAACGATCAGCAATTTTGATCAGCAGCCTTTTCTAGCTTGACCATAATGCAGATGTTCTAGTCTTGGACTGCTGACAGGTTATTTTGTAGTGCTACAAACCATTGCATTAGACACAGCAAAAATAAGAAGAGACCATCTTTGACCCAAACTTCCACAAGCAGGATAAAACCCAAAGCAATTCAGAGTCAATATGGGAGCCCACATCACAGAAACAACCACAACAGCTAGCAATAATTGTCCCCACCGTTGAAGCAAAGAGGCTAAACACTGAATCACCACACCTGGAAGGCATGGCTTTAGGAGTGGTGATCCACATG